GGGTGTGGGTGTGTGTGTGGGGGTGGGTGTGGGTGTGTGTGTGTGTGGGGGGGTGTGGGTGTGTGCGCGTGTGCGCGTGCGTGTGTGCGTGCGTGCGTGTGTGTGCCATGAAGGCAAAATGTTTTTCTGGAACTTTCACAATTCACAGTTTGAGAGACAAACTTTATCTTGGTGTAAATCCTAACTTATAAAATGCACCTGGTATATTCCATATTTGTAATATATTCCAATATATGCTAAATTCAAATTTTGTAATCTTTTCTGAAATATTAAGTTATTTAATCTTAAATCAGTTTCATTCAAACATAATTCATATTGTTACTTCACAAGTTGATTGTTAAATTTTCTTTTGTATTATTTATTCCATATTTGTTATAGCCCTTCTTAGAATACAAAAATAATAGTGTTTGTGTATTTGTGTCTTTGTAGATTGTGACCAAGTTAAAAGATTTTAAAAAACTGTTTGAGAGACGAAAAATTTATCAGTGGAAACTTGATGTTATAAAAGAACCCGTGTTTCAGCCTGTGATGTATAGAGCTGGAACAATTGTATGGTCTATTTCAAATGCAACTCTATCGCCTTTAGGTGAGTTAATCTTGTTATAGTTGTAAGATGCAAAGAATCAGTTTTTCTGTTTGAAAGGATTATTTGTTTCATTGTTCATTTGTGTATTTGAAGTTGCATTCAAGGAAAATCTGAACCTTCCTACATAGGAAAATCACAAAAAATGCATGAAAATCTATATTCACAAGCTCTTTATAAGATACACTATTTACACTCTACAAGTATACAATATCTACAGAAAATTATTGTGGGCCTATTTCTGTACTAAGAAAAACAGATGTACTGTTTGAAAAACTATGCAAATTGACTAGGGCCCACCCTGCAACCTCCTGCTGTATTTACTTGAAATATTGGCAGAGAAATTACTATCTTGCCTAATTGTGCCTTAATGGAGTGTAATGAAAAATCTTACGAAAATTACCACAATTGTCAAATGTGTGAAATGCAACAATCTTTAAAAAAGTAATTAAATTGATATAATATAGCTCATCTACACCCAGGACCCTAAAGTGCTGTTCACTGTTATAGTTAAACCCCCATAACCCCTTAATCTTGCAACTACGCATTACTCAGCGCCTGAACATGGCAATTTGCTCAGGGCGCTCTGGTCCTAGTGTTTTTGTGGATGATATGGGCAGAGGGCATTGTTTTCGTTGATCCAGTCAGACAAGACTCCTCACTGGCAATGTCAAAAGAAGATAGACTGAACTTCTGGTTGACATTTCAATAACCACAGTGGATGGAAGGAAAAAATAATGCTCGTTTATTGGCAATTATTAATTAAGTCAGAGATTCAATTTAAATACTCTGAAGATACAGAAATATATACTTGAACAATTCATTCCTCGGGAGTTTATTAATCAAAACTTTAGGAAAACTGCTTCTCACATCCACAACATTTTGTGGTGTCAACACATTAAGTTTCAAAAATAAATTTTCTTTCTGACAGAACGCTGCATTTGTTTTCTTTTTTTCTTTTTTTTCTTTCTTTAATTTTTTCTGTTCTTTGTTGAAAGTTTCAAGATGTTCTAACAACAAATTCTGACACTGAACTTAGATTTTGTTTTAGTTCTTCCAAATAAACAAATCACTGCCTTCTGTGAAGTATCATTGCCTGTTCAGTACCTAATTGATTGGAGTGGATCATGCTCTTCTGTAGGCTTGACCTGTACATCAAACAGTGGATTAAGTGCATCTTCATACTATGAAAATGTGTTTGTAATTGCTACACCACAATTGATGAATCATACACATTTGATGTATTTTTTGGAGGTAAGTTCCTGGTTTTGATTGTTAAAAACACTCTTTTTCACTCTTCAAGAGTAATCAGATAAATCATAAAAAGTAATGGGCTCCAAATGGAGCCTTGGGGTGTACCTCCAATTACTGGACATGGATTAGAGAAAAGTTTAAAAGTCAAGAAAAATGGAAATCCAGTTCAAGAACATTCCTTGAATGTGTAAGTTCTCAAGATTGCAACATAGTTTTCTACGTTGTATCTGACCAAAAGCTTTTTTATCCCCAAGAAAAAAATGTCACTTTACTGTCTTTTATTGAGCGCCTAAGGTTGAGTTATGAACGGTTTTTATTGAATATCTGTTGGAATTATACACTTTCTCGAGTTCTCTCCCTTATCAGAGACAAATCTGATGCCTCTTATAAGGAATCTTCTGTAAGTATTGAGATGATCCTATGAAAAACAGATTTTACATTATATCTCATTACTTCAGGGTGATGGTTCAATGAAATCATACATTTTCATGTCTTGTATTAAATATGACAATAACATTTTTTTTTATTGATTGTTGAATTTTTTTGAGGTAAGCATACAGATTTATCCAACGAAGGGAGGGAATGTTTGTTATGGAAAATATGTTGAGTTTAATAGACTTCTTAAATAACTTTTAACTTGATTTAAAGCATTTTATATTATTTTTACAGCAACACCTGTTATTTAAAAAAAAAATCCTTTTAAAGTGAAATGTTCTCAGAATATCTTGGAAAAATATTTCTTCTGAAAAAAGACCTAAAGTTTTTCTCTAAATTAGATTAAGTAGGAGTAAAATAGAGATGTAGATGGTTGGGTTATCCATTGATTCATGGGCTATTCGTTTTTGTAACTTGAAGTGATATCATGTGGGATCATGCAGGGTTTGTTGTAATGAAAAATGAGAAAGGGATTTGTTGTAATGATTGGTCCTTTACATAAACACATGAAATAGAAGTATTTGTAATCTTAGGAATTTGTTTAATTAATAAGCAATTTTATAAATTTCACTTTTTTGTGCTCATTAATGGATTGTTTAAAATTTAAACTACGGGTAATCGCTTTGTTTTAATCAGTCTGTTGTGTTATGGTTTTAAAATTTGATGAAGTTATGGCAAGAAAATGTGTGTATATTATTCAGTTCACTTAGTGTTGGGCGGAAGTATTTTGAGTTTTCCTACAGCAATTATTATTTTTACCTTAATGTTGGTTATGTGCTTATTAACACTCCTGTTCACTTGTTTAACACACTGATTCTAAAACCTCAATTGATTTTAACTGTTGTACTCCTGTGGTAACGACTCCCTCAGATGAAGATATTGAAAATGTAGTCTAGGAAGGTTCTTTTTGAAATTTTGTGTAATTGATTTTTGTAAAATTTTCTTATTTTTTTATTATCAAATAAGAATTATGATAATATTTATTCTATGTTCTGTATGTCATAAGATTTGATTTTGGAATTTTGCAGCAACAGGAGTGTTCATACAACATCTGTTTGCCGTTCAGTTTGTTCCTGTGCTCTCCAGACACAGTTAGTGTCGAAGATTGCTCGCTTGTTGATGATATTGAGGTTCCATCTTATGGAAATGAAACAGGTTTGTGTTCAAATGTGGTAAAACAAGTGAAGTACCGTTTACATCACAATGGCACTTTAGGCATTATCAAGGCAGAAGCTTACTTTTGGGTTGTCAATTTAAAATCTGGTCAAACTGACTTGAAACAGACATTTTCAGTTGAATTTGTGTGGGCAGATGCCCCTAGAAGAGTACTTCATCGCAGTGGCAATCCAGGATATATATTTGGTAAGCCCGTTATTGCTGGTCAAAAGATCTTTCGTTCTGAGACTGAAGAAGAACCAGACAAAGAAGCCATTTTGCTGAGCGAAGAACAATCAAAATGGCTGACTTTCCCTAAACCGGGAACAGGTGGATTGTGCATTAGTAGTATGGCAGAAGGAAGTAGAATACCAGTGAATTTTGGGGAGAATTTATTATCTTCTTGCATAATCCAACTTTCTGTGAGAAATTTCTCATCTCCAGAAAATTGCTCTCTTCTCCAGAGAAAATTTCTTCATATGTTGCTGGGTGATGTGATGATTAATGTGACTGAAGCAAAGCAATTTAATATGTATGTTTCAACGTTTGGTGATGCGAATGTTGAGGAGACTGGGGACTGGGTGCCTGTGCTACTCGAGAACATGCCCATTCTGTCAGTCGACTGGAAGGAAGAGGGTGCTTCTCTAGTGTGTAAAAGTGTTGTCACAAGTCTGCATATAAATATTGTGACTTCCAAAGTAGGCCTTGCCACAAAGCCTCAGACTAAAATCTTGGGGGTGGCTGTTACGTTTGGTGGTGGACGAGATCTCGTGTTCGATTGCTCTCCGAGTCCTTGCTCAAGTGTAGATGTAAGCAAAAGGCAAAAGTTTGAAATCCAGTCTTCTGTCTCGTTTGTAGATGTCTCCAAACCACCCGTCATTCATTTTGCAGAGCCTCCTGTGTACGAAGTGAAGTTGCCCTATGACTTTTTTTATCCATTTCTGTCTTCTGGTGGAGTGAAATTGACTTATTGTTGTTATATTTTGAGCACTACTATTCTTTTTCTTTGGCAACTTGTTCTGAAGTTGTTAGTTGGTTGCTAAATAGAGTAGGTTTGTAAGTCTCTCTTTTGCAACAAATCTGTCGGTGAAGTCCGAGGAAAGAATGACATGAGAGAGGGTGTGGCTATCTGTATAGGCTCCGCAGTGTGTGTTTTCACAAGCAGATGTCAGGATTACCTCATAAGGTTTCTCTCCTCAAAAGACCCAACGAAAATGTTTGCTTATTCTCTTTTTTATGACAATGGGACTGCTGTTGGCTCTAGAAAATTTATTTTCTCTCTGTTGGTAATCGTCGTTTGAAATGATTATGTAGTTTGCATAATTATTAAATGTAAAAGTGAAGAAAAGTAAACTTCAACATTATAAATGTCTTCTGTTAAGTGAAATGAAGCAATCAAGAAATGCTTAAAATGGAAAACCTTAATTTTGTTAAATTTTATCTAAACTTTGCACAAATGCTAGTCTGCAAACTTTTCTGACTTCTTGCTCCAGAAGCTCATTACACATTGCCATGAGTGTGTCATTTTCCTTAGCCTTCTAATTCAATTGATTTTGCAAGTTTGTCTCTTGAAGTTCTAAATGAGCCATAGAACTGCTGTATTTTGTGAATTTCCAATTTATGCCACTTTTCTTCAGCCAAAAGCTTTTCATTTTCACTTCAAAGCTGACTTGCCAAAAGCCAGGAAAGTTGAGATCTCTGGAAAAGGGAAGGAATTTCAGCTGTGGTAGGGAAAAAAATAAGTTCTTTACATTTGAAAATGAGTTTAAATTATTTTTATTTATTAAATTATTTATTATTATGATTATTTAAATTTAAATGAATGGGGTTGAGTAATATGTAAAATTTTCTTTAGAAGACAAATTTCTTGCACCTACATAGCACGAAATGAAACGCTGTTCATTCTTCTCTATGATGTAACATGGAAATGTGGTCTTTCTTCATGAGATGAGGTGGGCACTAAATCATTTGAGTGTGCAAGGGGATTGCCTGTGCGAATGGGTGTGTGCTGGGGAGGGAGGAGGCTTGCGCTTGGATCAGTAGAACAAAGGGCTCGTCCACGTTGACCTACTTCTGAGATATTGAGGCTTTTACTAGAACTTTCTTAATTTAACTCAGGACACATTTAAACTTTTGAACACAGCACACTTCCATACAAGTCGATACTGGAGTTAAATGACACATTAACTGAAAGAATAATATTGAAGTTATATTTAATGCAAATAACTGTTTCACAAACAATGTTGGATAGCCCTTCAATTATGGATATAGTTTCGTTCAAATGGAATACATAGAGATTTTTGAATGGCACATGTGCCTTCCAAGGGATTCGTACTCTCAGCGATTGGTTCTGCATTCTTACACACTGCTGTAAAAGGCATGGATTGATTATACATGTGTGGAAGTCTGTGTTTCCTGCGAAAATACAGACAGGACTCAATTGTTGTGAAACTCCTTTTGTCTGAATTTGTATAAGATATTTAATGGTTAAGAAAGGTATTTTGAATATCATTATAGTGTGAACCTTTGATGTGCAATGAATGAAAGAAGGGTGACCTCTTGCATTGTGAAAGAATTATTGAAACTCCTTTTCAGTGCCTACTTAAATGATTATTAGAGCCTTTGTGTTCACGTTCTTTCAAAGGAAGAAAATGTCTGAATATCAACAGTGTGTGTTTTTAACTTGTCAGTTGGTAATTGGTTTTGTTTTTTTATTTATTGTATGTTGTATTTGTGTAATTTTATGAATTTATTCCACAATTAGTAATCTTTTCCTAAGGTATTTACAGGTGCACAAAAAATAAGAGAAAGATATTATTTACTAATATTTTTTCCAAAATAATAATAATAATAATAATAATAATAATAATAATAATAATAATAATAATAAATTTGTTCACAATTTTCAGTTGTGCAATATTTTCAAAACTCGAATTGTGAATATGATTGAATGAGTGATCATCTCACAAATTATCTTTCTCAAGCAATGGAACCTAATACATCCTATGATATGTTGATTGTGATTTGTTTGTAGACTCATGTCTTTCAACTATTCCGTCCAAAGTATAAGCTGTGAATGATTGGTCTAGTCAAAGTATCTTTAATTGTTTTCAGGATGTTTAAGTATTTTTAATTGCTGGTCTTGAAATGCATTTGAAATTTGCAGTAGTGCATACTATATAAAATAATAATTTACATACATTTTATGATAGTACAAAGTTTTATAGAAAAATCAATTAAACCTTTTTCTGAAAAGCATATGGTAGTAATATAATTTTTCATGTAGGATTCTTTTTCCCTCTTTTTGTGGTGGCTCAGTGGTGACCTACCAGCTTGCTGACCTAAAGGATCCAGGTTCATATCCCAACATATACTTTGTTTTTTTATGATGTAAATCAGCTGTTACGAAGTCAAATTGGGAGCTTAAACGTCATCACAGTGATGCTACTGTGGTGACATTTAAGCTTACGATTGGTTGATACCATCAAGAGCTGATATACATCATGTACCATTAAAAAAAAATTGTGGTGCCGTCAGCAATGAGGTGGGACCCATAGGCCACTTAATGGGTCTTTGTCTAAGGTTGTGACTAACTTTGTTTCTAGGGCATATTTTTATTTATTGTGCTGTGTTAAATTCAGTTCCAAGATGGAAACAACTTAAGCCACAAATGAAAAATTTTCCACCTTTGTGGTTTGTTTTAAAAAAAGTTTCTTATGACCTTCACAAGTGACACTGTTTTTTCCTTTTAATGTGAATTCCTATGAATTAGGAGATATAGGAAGTATTCTGAAGAGTTGCCATAGAATGAATATTAAACTAGCTGAATTACCTGCTTTGCATTTCTGCTGAGATAAGTTTTATTGACCTCCTATTTCCCTTCTACATGGACCTTCACTCCTAGTTTTAAAGACAGGAATTTAATGTAGTGGTGATTTGAATTATTAGCTTGGTTTTATTTTTCTAAAATTGTTTACATCTGAACTTGGTTAAGATTTATTTATTACAATTTTTTCCAGCCCAAAAGTTTGATTCTTGTTGTTGAAAAAAAGGACATAGAAGTATTAAAATTCATTCTTTTTTTTATCACAATGAATTTTTTTCTATGCTACAATTAAAAAAATTGGCGTAGTATGTGGATGCATAGCTACTACACCCTCTGATATAGACTTCAATTACAGCTCGTTTAAATTAGTTTTTTGGTCAAGAAGTTCACATTGCAATTATTATTAAAATTCTTCCTTTTATCCTTTGCCCCTACTTTTTAAAAAGAAGGGAAACTAAATATGCGTATGCTTTTGGAAAAAGCTTGATATTGTGTTCCTTCAATATTAATTGTTTAAAAAACAAGACAAGCTGTAAAATGGAGGTAACACACAATTCTAAAATGTATTGATGATCTGTAAAACTGTCTTTGACATGCACTCTGTGTATTTGTAGATGTATATATTTATTTATAAAATATATGAATTTTAATAAAACCAATCTTTACTATTAAGATGTTAAATTTCTTCTCTTAATTGTATGTGTATTTGTGAACAATAATATAAGCTGTCTATGAAGCCCACATTTTTGTTAGATGTGTGAGATTTTCATGAAAATCTTTACTGATTTCTTTGATTATAAAGTAGGTTCAATGTCAGAATTAGGAGAAAAATTCAAGGAATTATTTCTAAACAATTATCATTCACATTGTCCGTGATTACCTTCCAAATTGTGACAACAATTTTTCTACATTTTTGTTCTATGTTTTACTAATTCATTTCATCAAATAGAATTATTCTTGCTTACTTTTAGATGATTACATTTTACTTACTTTTTGATATTTCATTCTTTCAGGTAAAGTGTTTATTAAAAAATACTATTTATTCAGAAATAAATTATATATTTAAATACTTTTATCTACTAAAAGTAGACTTATTTACAAAATATAGATGCTTAAAAAATGTTTTCTTCTTGTATATTGATTTAAATGAACGTTGGTGATGGCTCATGGTGAAATCCATAAATATATGTAAGAGTAGAATAAATATGCGAATATAACTTCATTTTATGGAAGTCTTGCACGTTTTTATTAGGTTTCAAAGAAACTAACATTTATTGTTGTCAAAAAATGATGATTGAAATTTGCTTTTTCAGAGTCTTAATTTTAGGTTCAAATTTTATCGTCGAGATTCTTTGAACACTTAATTTTTCAAATTTGTAACCCGTACTTTTCATCACTTAGTTACTTTTGAGAATGAATTTTTGATGGCAAAGAATTAATCTTAAATTGCATGTCTTTTATCTGTTTCTTCTGTTTGTTTATCTTATATTGGCCCCTGATTAGTGTTAGAAAATGAGCTCTGACACTAATGCATCTTTTAATATTGAAATGAGATTTGTGTGCTGTGATTATTTCTCCAAATAATTGTGCATGTTAATGTTTGCATGTGTAAATAATAACGAATTCGAAAACTTGAAATTGGTTGAAAATTTTCAGCAAGTTTTGTTGTGCTGCTTTAAAATGTGAGAGACTACTGGTGTCAAATGAAAATCTTTTATCTCTAAATGTATGATGAAATTTAAATTGCGAAAGAGATTTACTCTGTTTTATGTCCTCTGATGAATTGTCTTTCTGGACGTTGAAATCGTTTGATTTATTTACAACAGAGCAAATAACCGAGTGTAAAGCCTTATGATAAGTTGTCCAGGAGAAGGTTTTGGAAACGTTGGGCGTCGAAAGCCTTGACAATGACGGTGTTCTTGGGCGCGTCGTAGCCGACGAAGGTGGCGCCCCGGCCGTACCGCCCGCCCGTCTCGGCCTGCACGTGGCGCTGCTCCGAGGCCACGATGAGGTCTGGCCTCAGGAGCACGGCCGCCGTCACGGGGTCGGCCGATATCCACAGCTCGGAATCGGCGTCCGTTGCCAGCGCTATCCTCTCTGCTTTGTTCAGGAAGTCCACGTACTTGCTTTCAACTTTACCAAACACGTTAAGGCGCCAGTCCTGGACAAGAATTCATTTAGGAAGATTATTGTGTTTTGTAGACTAAATTATGCATGTTTTACAAATTCCCTTTGCGTGCTTTTCACCAAAGAGCACGTGCAGTTTTATTGTATTTTATGAATACCGTATTTACCCGAATATAGGTAAGGTAACCAATTTTTTTACAATGAATAGGACGAAAAAATGTCGAAAAAAGTGCAACGTAAATAAATTAAAAATATTATTAATTCAAACAAAACCCCTAATTATGCTTACGTCACTTCAAATTATTTAATTAAATGAGCATTTTCCCATTGCATTGGTATTTTTTGTCAATATATAGTTTTCTAATAATATATTGAACATTTCATAACAAGAAATATCCTATATCTTGAATTTCACGGGAAATTCAACATTCAATATTGATTTCTCGCTTGTTCAAAACTGAACTACTGAATCTGAAAGTACTGAAAATGGCGAGAAATCCGCCGATCTAGCAATACTACTCGCATCTTTCCAAACTGTATCGTCACAAGATGCGTAACATTTCGGCGTGACAACTGAATTCAGAGATTAACATATTAGTTTTAAAATATCGAAAAGGACACTTTTCGGGGAAGGACAGAACCTATTGAGGAGGACGATTGGTCACCTTAATATAGGGCGTGTTTCGTTTTTCTCTCGGAAGATGTCAGTCGAAAAATACAGAGTCGTCTTATATTTGCGGATTAAGCCTCGTCGGGTGGGATCTGTTTTTATGCTGGCATTGCATGTTAAACTCGAACGCTGACGTAATGAGCTGCGAAGCCATAAATACTGTGCGTATCTGTAGTAGCTAATTATTTGTGGATGTCCGCATCCATCATGAATTCGCCGGGCACTTGAAATATTTTTGAATGGGCCGGTCAAGAGAGAATGTTAAACGAGTGGCTTTGCAGTAAATGAAAATGAATCGGAATCGTTGCCGAGATGTTGCTTTGTGATGAAGCACGGAAGTGATGTGCGAATTTAATGAAATGGATTCTTCAAGGAGCATCGGCCTCGAACGAGGCCACGACAGCGACGGAGAAGGGAATACTCTTAGATAGCGACGGAGAAGGGAATTGAAAACCCAATTGGAGGTGTAATATTTTCGGAGGGCTTAAAAGTATCAGGACCAGAAAAGAAAAAAGTTAATGCAAGATAAAAACAATAGTGGCAAAAGCAATTATTTTTAGTTATCAAGAAAATAATGATACTTTGGTCAAACTTTTTTTAAATTCTCATCTTTTAGTTTTAGTTATGGTGTGGTCTTATGTTCGGGTAAATACAGTTTTTGAAAATTTTCATTTGTTTAAGCTTGGTAGAGAAATTTTAAATAAATTTTTAAATGGTGTTTTAAATACTTACCATGCTCACTGTGTCTCTAATGGCAACTGTTTCCCAAGGTACTAGATATATAGGTTTAGATTCATTTCTTGAAGAATTGAACACTATAAAATCTGCTTCTGGGTCCAAAAAGAAATTAAATTCTGTTGCTGGTTTGACATTTCCTATACCTAAAAAAAAAGTGCCAACCTTCTCTTAGTTTTAATATTGCTAATTTAAGACTAGAAAAGGAGTCAATTCATTATAATTGTGTGTGTGTGTATATATATATAT